TTTTGCATTTCTAATTTATTCATATTTAAAAACAGTGATCCCAAAAACCATCTAAGTTTCAATTTTATGCAAAACAAGCAATTTTTAATGTCGTATTTAAAATCAGTGACCTGAAAAACCATCTTAGAAACCATCCACGTTTAATTTTTATGCAAAACAAGCAAGTTTTAATTACGACAGGTTTGCCAGACCCTGTATATATAATATTCAGTTCAAAAGAATTTAACATTGTTAAAGTATAAATAACTCAAAATTTGATTCATACTAGATAATTTGAAACGTACTGTAAATAAAAACCGAACGTGTGCAGTTTAAAGCATATACACATATATAAATACAGGGGAACGTCTAATAGTTTCAATAAGTGTCAAGTGCCACTGATTTTTTTTTACTATTTTAGTTGTTCTTTTTATTGTATTATTAAGGATTCAAATGATTGTAAATATTTCGACGACATTCCATTTCTTAAAAGAAAATCATTTTATATTCGATTAATTGTTGTGTTGTGTTAGTGTAAATTAGTTAGAAAAAAACTAGTGTACATATTGCCAAAAAAAAACAAATTCGATTTTAGCTCTTTATTTGTTAAATAAAAGCAATTCAGTCTGTCAGTGTATGAATAATTTATGATTATTTTTATGATAAATAAAGATATTTGTAATTCTAACTGATTTTTTATGCCATTAAAATTTACCTGATAAAGATTTCACAAATTGTAAAATAAGAACATTTTTCACGGGGGTGGGTGGCTCAGTGGTAGAGTCTCTGCCTGCGGATCCAAGGGTCCCAGGTTCGAATCCCACCGTTGGCCGGGATTTTTTCATTTAATTTAATTATTTAAAATTAATTCTGATGCCTTGGTATATTCTGTTACTTTCCAGCTACAACTGTTAAAGTTCATTATTAATTTTCTCGCTTAATAATTCTTGAAACGCCTTGTAGATATCAACAAATGTAGAACAAAATTGTTAAAATTGAATGCTTTTGACCGCTCATCTCTATCGATAGCCGTTTAAGAGTTATTCGAGTTTAAAATAATTACATTACAAAAAATTGTTCTTTGCCACCTGACTAATCTAAATTTTCCATTGCAGAGATTTCTTTCTCCGCCATTTTATATCCATGTTGTTTTGGACAAAAACAGAACTCTACTAACAACCAGACAATGTTTTAGCAACTCGTTCATAGATGGGAACATTCATTACATGTATACAGAAATCTACTATTACTTACTCCTTCTTTTAACAATAAGTGGATAGATGGCGCGTATGCATCTTCGCCATTTTTTGTCCATACAGAAAATTTACAATGTAAAAAATTATTAAATTAAATTACAGCATTAATTAAGTTGGAAATGGATAAAAATTTTGAACTAGTCAGGCATTTAAATTGCAATTTAGGTTCTAAATTACACATAAAAAATAGTTATTACATTGTTATTTATGTACCAGATACAAAGCCCTCACTCTGCGCCATTGATATCATGGAGGAAGGATTATATTGATATCAGAGATATAAGCAGTCATTCATAAAATATAATATTCATGGTGCCATCAATAGTTGGTACTGTATACATTCTATTTCTAGACGCGGGACGAGGCGACGAAAGGTGAGAAGTAAGAGAAGGGATAGAGTGAAGAATTTTACGTAGTTTTATCAATGAATAACTGCGCGAGCTTATACTACATAACGTAAATGTCCATGCCGGTGTAAGCCCTGTTGCCACTTCCAATCTAACATCACTAGGTTTTGGAATTTGTTGAAAATTATTACATCTAATTTAATGAAATTACATCTAATTTGGTTAAAAATGGCTATTTTTTGTTCTAATGCTCAATTAGGTCTTTGTAGGAAGTATTTTTTTTATAATTATTTAAAAAAATCATTTACATTAGCTCTTATGACGGTTTCAACCGTCTACAAATTTGTATAAAAAATGTTCTTTTAGAAATATACCTCTCATTTGACGAAAAACGAAGGCATAAATGAAAAAAAACTATTCTTTATAAAAGTTTCGCCTATGTATTGACAAGGTAAAAGTACTTTCGTCATATTTTTTGCTTTTAAATTAACAAAAATATAGCAATAAACAATTAGTGATGTCATGGTTCTACTAGAAAGCAAACATTAAAGACAGAGCCTCTCGACTCTTTATGCATCTATCTCAGTATTGAAATGAATGCAATCAGTTTGACTCTCTTATAATATTTTATACAGGGATTATTGATTTATCCACTATGAATAATAGGGTGTATTAATTATTTCAAGATTTTTTTTTATTTTTGGCGGAAAATGAAAAATAAGAAAATATAAACTATTTATTGAAGGTATTTATTGAAGTATCAATTATAAACAGTAAGGCTATTGCTTTGCAAAATACAATAAATCCCCAATATAAATAAATTATAATAATAATAATAAATGGAAGGAAGTATATAAAGCATAAATTAATAATATTAAAATTTATAATTACACGACTTTCAAACTAATCAGAGAATCAGATTCACCACACGAATCAACATTTTCCAAAACATTAGCGGCTGTGCCATACAGGTGCAGGAACCGATACAGCAAATATTTTTTTTCTGCATTTGCAAATTTACATCTTAAACAATGTAGTCTTAGGGCATCTTCAGTCGGTCGCAATTTAGCGATGGTTTTTGAAGAGGCCAATAATCCCCTCAAAATGTTAATGGAAGTAACATTGGCAGTTTTGAATAAATTTTTATGAAAATTCTTTCAAGATTAGAGAATATGTTTTCAGAGTACTGATCAATGCCAAATCCATCCAAAAAGTAATGGTGTTCAAGGTAGGTTTTCCAACAGGTTCTTTTCCCAATGCCGGACAATTAGCTGGTTGTATTACAACCGGTCAGAGAATGAAAAGCAGGCACATTTTTTTGAAGGTTTTCATCCAAATTTAAATAATGTACTGCTAGAAATCGTCTTGAGTCTCCTCGCCCTATTCTGAACCATAAATCTTTAGTCAAAAACTTCTTAAAATAAATTAATAAGACATCTGTATCGTTACAATAAATAATGCAGCGTGAATGCCCCGAATTTTTGGATGTGCAATAAGATACGATTATTAGTGTCTTCGTGATTTCAATTTAAAAAATCGTCTTTTGATGGTTCAAAATTCTTTCCATATTTATTGATTTTCGCGAGTTTTGAAGAAGTTGCTCTAGCAAAAAATGTGTTAAACGTCTTTTGTTAAATATCGAATGAATAAACAAGTTCTATTATTGCGGAAGTGAAATATTGGGTCGGTCAATTTCTATATCAATTGATTTCTGAAATCATCTCTTTTGACGTGTTGTATTTTTGATAGAATGTCCTTTATAATGATCAAATACCACATCTATCATTTGAACATTAAATTTATTTCTAAAAATAATGTTTACAAATATATGTTTAAATGATATGCAACTTTTGGGCTTTCCTATTTTGATATCGTTTTTGTCTTTGCTACTTGCAGCAACAAATCCGTAATTAAAATTTTAAACGAAAACTTATAACTTACCCAAATATATTCAGCTGCAACAGGATGAATGTAGATATAATAAAGATGCAAAAATGTCTATATTTTTCCCAATTTATTAGGTAATTTAATATATAACACATACACTTAGTAATTCTTTAGTAAAAACAGATAACAATATGACACATTGCCCAATGGAACATAACGAGAAGTTTTATAATAAAAAAAAATGAAAAATCCTACCATATCAATAATGTGATACATCAGCCGGCACGTAGAGAGAAACAGAGCTATGCTACGTTTGAAGGTGAAGAGAAAGATACAATGAGAGTCGATAAATTTGGCGGTGAGAATTAATAACAGCATAAACCTATGACATCTCTCATCGTTTATTGTTATATCTTTGTTAATTCAAAAGCAAAAAATATGGTGTTTACTCTGTTACCTTGTCAACACATAAGCAAAAATTTTATAAGGAATGTTTTTTGTTCATTTAGGCCTTCGTTTTTTGTTAAATGAGTGGTATATTTAAAAAAGACGACTTTTTAACTAAATTTTTGAAGGGCTAAAACCAAGATATTTACGTTTATATTTTTTTTCGGCCGTAAGTGCTAATGTAAATGATTTTTTTTAAATAAGTATGAACAATTACTCCCTACAAAGATTTTATTGTGCATTTGATCAAAAAATGAGTATTTTTTTCTCTATTCGGTGGTATCAATATCTGGATTTTTGATGATAATGCCCTTCTGCAAACTCTAATTTTGTATTAACTCCGGAATAAGGGTTACCTTATCATGACCTTTCATCTGTGAAAAATTCAGCCTTGTGACAAAAGAGTGGGAAGTGAATCGTTTTCTTGAGCGAATATTTTAATACATACACTTTACTAACAATGACAACAGCGGATATTATGTCCTACTGTGTCCCTTAGAATATGTCTTATTCACGGCCGCACGATATTTGTTAGTAGTTACATCTCCTGGTTATCTCTGATTGATATGTATCTTTCCTATCGAACACAGAACACATGGTCTGTGCAGAACACTATCGAATAGAAACTAGAAAAATGAAATGTTTTGGCTATGCTGTTATTGGGTCCTATGATTGAACGTTTACGTTATCCGTAACGTACATGTTAGGCTCAGTTTTAACAGTAATTAGGCAAGTTCGTATGATGAAAAACGGTTTCCAACACATTACTGTTATTTTCCGCCTGTTATCTTCTAATTTAACAGTGTTCCATCATCCGAACTTGCCTCGTTACTTTTAAAATTCGGCATAACATGTACGTTATGGATAACATAAACGTTCAATCATAGGACCCAATATTACTGATTTTTTAGGATTTTTAAGTTATTGGTATACCAAAATTGATATTAGAGGCCACGCAGGTTAGGTATCTGTATATCTGCTTAATAAGAGGCCAAAAAATTTAAAACGTTCTGCCGTAATAGGTTAGAAGCCATCAAAAAGAAGAATTACTGTTACCACATAGAGGAACAGGCCATAAAAACTAAAAGTGACCTACAAACATTCTGACATTTTATGCATTGTAATCTGTCAATGCAATGAATTTATTATTGTATTTGTATTAAAAACAAGTCAAGTTTTGTGGCAGTAATTTGTAATTCAAAGTTTTTAATAGTTTTTTTTGTAATATTAGTTGTGATCAACAATACTTCTAGGATGGCTCATTACAAAGGGGCGGCCAGCGAAGCCGGCAGAGCCATGCAATTGATGAAAAAACGCGAAAAGGAAATGCAAGATCTGGAACTCAGAAAGAAACGAATCGAGGAAGATTTAAGATTGAATAACATCGAAAATAAATTCGCTACACATTACGATGCGGTCGAACAACAACTTAAAGTAACTATTCTACAATTTGCAAAACGAAAAACTTTTGTATTTACATTCAAAATTTGTTTTAGAGCTCCACAATTGGACTCGTTACTCTCGACGAAATGAAAGCCAAGCAGGAAAACATAGTTAAAGAACGGGAGAGGAAATTAGCACAGAAACAGGCGGAAAAGGAGCGAGAGAAACAAAGGCAGATGGAAGCCAGACAAGCGGAGAAGAACAAGCAGAAAAAGCAGGTAACATAAAATATTATACTTGATATAAACATTAAATTACACACATTGCATTGTATAAATAAAGACAATTATTGTAATTGTCAATTTATAGAACAAAAAAATATTTTGCAGTAGTTTCATCAATATAAGAAGTGGGAAGACCATATTGGTTATGTTACAAGACAATTACATCTTTTAATGCATAAATTCTATTAATAATAATGATATACATCCCATTAGTAAAATGATAATTTAAAGATTTACCTAAATGTTAACAGTGGTAATTGCTATTATAAATTTCATGTTAAATCTATGTAAAAAGGATTGAAAATGTCCCAAATAAATATCTATGATATTGTGCTATTAAACTCAGTTTAGAGGCAGGTACATATAATTATTTCACAATTCTAGACTCAATAAATAAATCTCACAAGACAAATTTTCAATTTAGAAACAAGAACTACATGTAGGGATCATTTTAAAAATATAATATACTCACATTCCCAGCCATATACATTTTTAAAACCATTCTGTATGTTAAAAAAAAATCATTAATCATTTTCTAAAAATCAAGATAATCATAATTACCCCACTCGAAACAATGAAGCAATTTGTATTTCAAAACATTCATCACCTCTATTTGAACTCAGCCCACACTACTCTGCACTTATTCTTTTTAATCATCTTCCATCCTCGACTAAAACAACCATCCCCTATATTTTTAAAACAAAATTAAAAAACTATTTAATAGATAATTGTGTGTACAGTATAGATGAGTACCTACCGCAATAATGCTATGTTGTTTTTACCTGATTTATTTTAGTTTTAGTTATAGTTTTATTTATATACCTGACCATAGATAAAGAATAAATATACCTGACTTATCCTAAATCATATACTATGATCTAAAAGGACAAATAAAGATTTATTATTATTATAATAATTATTCTAGTGTAGAAATTTTTTGTATGTTTGCAATAATTTGAATTGAAATGTACATTCTCTTAGTTTATTAATAGTATTTTAATTTCATAAATTGAACATTTTAAATCAAAAAGATTTAGTTTCGATTTTAGATACAAGCTCTCTCATTTACACTTGATAATGAAGATGAAGAAGATGATGAAAATGAGGATGACAATAATGAGAACAAAGAAGAGGAAAAAGAAATCAAGATATTATCTTTCAAGAGATCTAAAGAAGATGTGGATAGTACGAATTTGAAAAAGATTAGGAAGGATCCAAATGTTGACACCAGGTAAGAAATAATAATACTTTCCACATCAGCTGTCAACTATGTCAAACATGTAATTTTTATTTTGATCCATGTAATGTCAATATTAATAGTAACATGGGTCCCTATTACTAAGCTTCCAATCCAAGCCTACCAATTAGGAAAAGCCTACCAATTAGGAAAAGTACAATTTTTGTTTATGTAAAAGTGAAAATTCTGCAATTTTTTTTTTTTTTTTTTTTCAGAAAAAGATTTCAAATTCACAATTTTTAACATTAATAATTTATGATAAAATTAAATTAAATTTTTTTAAATTTTGCTTGTTTTCTTTAAATTTTTGACATTACTTGATTAAAAATCTATTCTTCAGAGGACAATTTTTCTTTTAGAGTGACTCATCTATAATTTTTGTTTTTAATTTTAGTTTCTTGCCAGACAGAGAACGAGAAGAAGAGGAAAACAGACTGAGAGAGGAATTGAGACAGCAATGGGCTGAACAACAAGAGAAACTAAAAGAAGAAGAAATCGACATAACGTTCAGTTATTGGGACGGTTCTGGACATAGGCGCACCGTAAGAGTTAAAAAAGGTAAAATATTTTATTATAACAATACTTGCTTACAACACTAAATATTTGTTCATGTATTTAGTGCCATAATTATTGATATTTAACTTGTAAGATGACAATATATTGACATTTGACAATAAAAAGTGACAACTGACACTTGACAAAAACCGACATTTGACTGATAAGGTAACAACTGATATTTGAGTGATAACAACTGACATTTGACATATAATATATGTATTTTACATGAATGCATTGCTTTTTAGGAAATTCGATTTACCAATTTTTGCAGAAAGTTTTGGAATTGCTGCGCAGGGAATTTTCCGAATTAAAAACTGTCATGGCCGATCAACTTATGTATGTCAAAGAGGATTTAATTTTACCACATTCCTACACCTTCTACGACTTTATAGTAACGAAAGTAAGAAAAACAAATCAATTAACATTATTCCAATGAATTCTTTCTAATTTTCTTTTTCCAGGCTAGAGGTAAGAGCGGTCCGTTATTTCAATTCGACGCGCACGATGACATTAGGATTTTAAATGACGCTTCTGTCGAAAAAGAAGATTCTCACGCCGGGAAAGTTTTGTTGAGGAGTTGGTATGAAAGGAACAAACATATTTTCCCCGCTAGTAGATGGGAGCCTTATGATCCTACTAAAACGTACGATAAATACACCGTTTCGGATAAAATTAAAAATAAATAAATAAAATTGTATAAATAAAGAGTTAATTGATAAGAATCTATTGTTTTTGTTATTGAGTCTTAATTTGTTCACAGCTGGCGTTTGATATGTAAAGCGACAAATGACTTTTGACAAGCAAAACGACCGATATTTGACAGGCCAAATGACTGACATTCGACAGACAAAACAACTAACATTTGTGAATCAGTAGATGTTGAAATTTGACAAAACGATTATAGAAAGTTCTACAGATGAAAATCACAAAAACCGAAAAAAATACCGTTCTTGTGAAATCGTTTCTTATGAATAACAAAAAAAGTGGTTTTGTCTGATTATTTTAATTATTTATTGCATTTTTCTTTTTACTTTCTTTTATCGGAATGGTATCCAAAATCGATTTCTGTTCAGGTAAAATTGGTTCTGACGGCGTTTCCCAAAATCTGGGAACGTACGGGAGCCTGCTGGCCAATTCTGTACTCCAATGATGTAATCTGCAACGTACGTTTACTTTTTCTTGCTTATTTATCTAGAAAAAAAAAAAATAAATAAAATTGTTAAATTTGTAGTTTAGTGGTTTTTTAATATACGTGTCTACACTAGTCCAGCTATAAAGATTGAAATCGTTACATAGTTGCCAGGTTATACATTAATATTTGAAAACTAGGAAAAAGCGAATTAATATACTATAAATGTGTCAAACAAAAAGATGGCCGCATGTAAACGTAAATAAGTAAAAAAACTTATTCCATGTCTTTGTTTATTTGGTGATTGTTTATATGTGTGATGTCCAACACAACATGACTTTCTTGTCTAGTTTTTCCAGTTATTTTCTACAACCTACTCAATCACCCCTGTAAATGGTTAAAGAATGAACTAAATATTTTTATATTGCTAATAAAAATACTAAAAAATTAAAATTCTACACTTTTCCTCAATGAATAACATTACAAGCAACTTTTATTTGTAGAATTTTCTTCTCTAATCATAAATAAAAGATATATTTAGGGTTGCCACTTTTTTGGAAAGTGAATAAAGGACTATGATGCTGATATGGGATCCGGTATACAAAAGGTCCTCATCCTTCTACTGAACTTATAAAAAAAAGGTCAATGAGTGTAACACAAAAAAGTCCTCGTCCTTCTCCCAATCTTCTAAAAAAAAAGGTTCTCAGCTTGTATATTTTTGTACAAGCCAGATCCCTTTCAAAGATATCAAAGAGCAAAACAGGACATATGCCCTAAGCCGTAAAAAGGGACATTTTAAGCTTTAAAAAGTCGCAAGGACATTTTGCTTCAAAAAAGGACAGGTGGCAACCCTAGGTATAATACATAAAGTAGTGAACAGGTGAAGTGAAAGCCTTCCAGAATGTGCCAGACTCAGGAAAACTCTACAGAGAGATAAGCAAGGATGCATGGGATCTCTGAAAAATCAACCAGGAGAACTTACAAAAACAGGGGAGGAGAGCTTAGATTTACTACTAGTCACACTTTCCTGGATGTAAGATTATTCTTGACCAAGAGAACAGGAGTACTGAGGCACTAATTTCTGGGGCCTCAAAAACAAACTGGTCTCTTGCAAACTCAATAGTAAACAGAACAAAACTTGTGTGGGCGATAAATTCCTTTCAACCATACAAAACAGCTGGACCTGATGGTATAATCCCGGCACTTCTACAAAAGGGCCAGGAAGTACTGGAGGGACCACCGTGTAAACTATTCCGAGCTAGCATAGCCCTCGGATATGTTCCACAAAGCTGGAGGTGTGCAAGAGTGGTCTTCATTCCCAAACCAGGGAAAGCGTCATACGAGGAGACCAAATCTTTCAGACCAATCAGCCTAACGTCATTTCTCCTAAAAACATTGGAAAAATTGATCGATAGATATATACGGGACGATGTTCTACGGGATAAACCGATACCAGTTTGCCTACCAATCTGGAAAGTCTTGCGATGCAGCCATACATAGGCTAATTCAATGGGCTGAACAAGCATTGGAAAGCAAAGAAATAGCACTAGGAGTTTTCCTAGATATAGAAGGAGCCTTTGACTCGGCTTCATACAATTCAATACTGGGATCTATGCAAAGGCGTGGAGTAGCCCACTGCATTACGAGGTGGGTAGAGTTCATGCTTAATCATAGAACCATTACCAGTAATCTCCTTAACACAACAAGAGAGGTCTCAGTTAACAAGGGATGCCCGCAGGGAGGAGTGTTATCTCCTCTTATGCGGACCTTGGTGGTTGATGACCTCTTATGGGAGTTAGAGAGAGAAAACTTGTACACGCAAGCATTTGCAGACGACATAAGCATCGCAGTAAACGGTAATTTTGGGACTGTTGTATCCGAAAGGATGCAGCGGGCACTAAATATCGTCGAAAGATGGTGCCTAAAAGAGCGATTGTCCACAAACCCGACAAAAACCTCTGTTGTTGCATTCACAAGAAAAAGGAACCTTCAAGGAATGAAGGAGCTTTATATGTGGGGACAACATCTAAAAATGGCAAAGGAGGTTAAATATCTTGGAATCACTCTCGATGACAAGCTTAGCTTCTGCAGCCATATAGAAAAAACAACAGAAAAAGCTGTAAGAATACTATGGGCCTGTAGACGGATGGTAGGGAACGCATGGGGGCTTAAACCAAGTATGATGCACTGGCTTTACACTATGGTTGTAGTACCGGTTATAACTTACTCATCAGTCATATGGTGGCACAAGACTAAAAGCATAACAGCTAACAGAAAATTAGACAAGGTACAAAGACTAGCCTGCCTAATAATAACAGGGGCATTTAGAACTACGCCCACAGTAGCAATGGAGCTACTGCTAGGTTTTCCTCCACTACACCTTGTGGTGGAGAAGGAGGCTATGGCGGCGGCATACAGGCTGTTTACTAATGGATTTGGATGGGAACTTTCGAGAAAAGGACACCACACAATGATATTAGAGAAACTAAAACAAAATCCGGTACTAAGAATGCCATATCTGATAGAACGCCCATTATTCACGACTTCAGGAAACCTTTTGATATTCAAATACCAGAAAGGGCCAAAAGCCGGGAAAAAAGGGAAAACAAAACGAATCAATCTGGTATACAGACGGTTCGAAAATGAAAAACAGCACAGGAGCTGGGATCTACCATGTGAACTCAGGGAGGACAATTAGTTTGAACCTGGGGTCACTGACAACAGTCTTCCAGGCTGAAGTAACAGCAATAAATGCCTGCGCCAAAGTCATGCTAAATGACTCTTAGAGATAAGAGAATCGTTATCATGACAGACAGTCAGGCAGCCCTTAAATCACTAAAAAGGGTAGAAGTACAATCTGGCAGAACATAACAAGGTCACTCTTGAATGGGTGCCAGGTCATGAGGGAGTGCTTGGAAACGAGAAAGCAGACCTCCTAGCAAGGAAGGGAGCGAAAAAAACTCTTATTGGACCAGAACCCACATGTGGTATCTCATACCAACATGTAAAATGGGTGTTAAAGGAACAAATAAAAAGAGAACACCATAGGCTCTGGATGGAACTTCCTGGACTTAGACAGTCCAAAAGATTCATAGAGGGACCATCCACGAGCAGACATCACCAACTGCTAAACCTTAGCAGAAGCGAACTCAAGGCCGTAATAGGACTCCTTACGGGACACTGCGGCCTTAGAAGACACCTAAATCTCTTAGGGATATCTGATGACTCCCTATGTAGAATATGTGAAGAGGAGGACGAAACTCCTATTCACATACTAAGCCACTGCTGGAACCTTAAATGGGAACGGGAATGGCACTTCGGGGTACAATATCCGGAACCTGAAGAAATCGCGAAAGCGCCCATCAGACATATTCTTGAATTCATCAAGAAAATCAATCTGATGGGATAGAAACTGTGAGGGGTACAATAAGCCTAGAGCTTCAGTACAAGTGGGCTTTGAACCACGCCCTAATTCAGATGATAATGATGATGATGATGATAAAGTAGTAACGTTTCTCTATAATGTACCCCTCCCCTGATGTTCCAACTATGCCCAAAATTTAATCATTTCGCCGCAGAATGGATTAAAGCCTTTTATAATTTCGTGTTTTTCTCTTTAACCGTTTTTAAGTTATCTTCAAAATTCGAAATTTGCACTTTTCTCAAATATCTGAAATACCACCCATTTTAGAGAAATCATGTATAGGACAAGAATTATATCGCAAACAACTTTTAATTGAACAATTGTCTTAAACATTAAAATTTTGCAATTTTTGTCAAATTTTTCGAATACTCTGACCATTTTAGAAAAAATATGTATAGGACAAAAATTAAATAAAAAAATATTTCACAACGTACACAACGTTTATTTAAAGAATTCTCTTCTCCAAGCGTAAATAACATTGTTCCATTTATGAAAGAAGGTCACAAATCAAAAAAATTACAATTTTGACTTAACTTATACAAACAACTAATATTACATCCCATTTTTATGCGAAATATCGTATTATTTGACACATTAATGCTAGATGTCGGCAGCGCCGTTTTAGTAAGTGACCAAATTAACAACTGTATTTTGCAGAAGAACCTCAGTTCTTAGTTAGATCTTGTGTAGGTCTGTTGATTTTATCGCACTTTTGTGAAAGATCGTCATAACACAAAAAGTGCCGAAAATTACTACAGGTGTGAGGGATTTTGTGAAAAAACGTGATAAGTAGAACTGTGTTGTTATAGAATAGTTAAATGCTACATTTTAAGTGTAGGTGTGTCATATTATTAATTGTGTCTATTTTACACAAAAACTATTTTATCTATATTTATGATGATAGTATGATAGTGACTTAATTAGGATTAAGACATTCTGATTTGTAAAATTCTGTTGTAATTTATATTGATGTTTTTTAGACAATATTAATTTTTGTTATAAGTGCCTAATGAGGCTTCTTAATTTTTTATATTATGGTTTTAGACCAGCTTTTCTTCACAAAAAAGGATCATATTTGCTTTATTGACTCAGATTGAAGCCACCAATATGGAAGAGGGTGGAAAATTGCTAGTAAAGTTGCTATTAGATAAAAATACAGAAGGAGGGAATGCCTGGAAAAAATTAAATACACTATGAACAGGAGCGGGGCTAACACACTACCCTGGGGCACACCTACATTAATGTTTGACTTTTTGTTTTCTATCTATTAGGTAGTGAGATAACTATTTATACACCTCACCCTCAATACCATACATCTTTAGTTTTCAAGAATTTTTTCTAAAGGTGTTAAGGTATTAATAGGTCTAAACTCATTTGCTTTTATGGTATTGCTAACTTTAGATATGGGAACCACAGTACTAACTTTTAAAGCATCTGGACCTTGCATGTACTCAGTGAGGTATTCACAAAGTTTAATATTACATGACCACAAACTTTAAAAATTCTTTCAGAGTTTTTGATTTAGAATTTCATATGGACTACTTTTATTGTCTAAAGGATTAATTATTGCACGTAGATCCTCCATGGATAATGTCCTAAACTTTGAAAAAGTAAAAGTATATAAGTCATAGTATATGAAAAAAAAAAAAAAAAAAAAATTATACAAGACAGATAAAATTTAAGTACCTATTGTAATTTACTTTGGAAATAAATGATCTTAAGTATGATATAGTGTCAAGAAGCAACAATAATGTATTTTAAATATTTTATTTGCATAATTTTTGTAATAAAAGGAATTCTTTTAATATAATATGAAAACTCTGTTACACATTCCTGAAATTTCTTTACCGTCTGGAATAAACATCTTCATATAGAATGAAGAGTGGTGTGTAAATGTGCATTAACACCTACCCTAAAGTACAAGATTATAAAAAAAACGTAATCTTTCTATGCAATTACCCTTTCTTTTATCATCTAAATACATGTTTTAAATATCCTATTTATAGGTACATACAAAAGAAATTACTTACCGTGACTGTAATTGCAAACTCTTTATTTTCTATATCCATATTTGGTCCAGTTATCGGTTGTTCTGGAAGTTCTATAGCATATTCTGGAACTACATATCCACACTTTCTAAACGAAGCCTTTATGTGCCAAGGTTTCAATGTCCAAGGCACATCTTTGTTCATAATTACTGACAAAGTCATTCGAGATAAAGATTGGACAGTCTAAAAGTAAAAAATACGATATAAATTAATCCACATTCGAATTTAGAACTAAAAATATACATACATAAGCAGCTGAAGGTGTACTATATTTTTTAACATCTGTATTAATGGCTAGATCTTTATATTTTTCTTGATTTTCAGGGCTTGCATACACTGCTAGCCCTGGCAGGAGAAGATTATTGTAGGCAAATTGCGGTCGTACCGAAACTTTATCCCCAACATTACCCAAACCCTCTACTACAGAAGTCAGAAGCACTTCGATGTCTGGTTGACGTTCTATAGCTGTATTTTTGATCACATCGTATATGTAATGTCTGCTGCGTAAAGGTTTTCGCAGGCCTCCTAATTTGTGCAAATTAGGGGGAGTTTTTCTTTTTAATACATAAGTAGTCTAAAATATAGAATTTTAAAATGTTAAAATGCTTGAATTGAATTATTTTTGAACATTCCGACTTACCCTAATTTGTTGGTATAATAATTCGTTGATGGGTTGTAAAACAGTTTGGTTTTTGATCGATGTGACTAAAGCTGAATTAATAGTTTTCCACATTTTAAACACTATTTTGAATGTTTGAATCTTACAAATTAACCTAAAAATGTCATTTTTTCATATTTTTCATAAATTTTAATTTTGACTATTTGACTACCTAACGCCATCTGTTACACAATTGCTGTGTCTGTTTATTATAATCAAGTTTGACTATTATTACATAGATGGTACTGTAATGTACCGTATGATTTTATAATGCTTAAGTATAAAATATATACCTAATTGTATGGAATAATGAAACAAAATATAATTTTTAATATTTTTATAACATATTTTCTTGGTAATAATAGAGATATTGCAATATAAAATTGATATATTTAATATTTTAATATTAACTGCTAGCGCCATCTATTAAGTATTTGTAGATATTTGAAGTATTGTATATTAAATAATATTAAACGTATTTTCTTTGAATTCAAAATGAAAAATACGTATTTTAAATTTTTATTATGAATAAAAAAGAATGAAACGAAAATTTAATGTTATTTAATGTAACAATTGTAGTTTTGTATCAAATATGTTGTTTATAGGACATCGCCATCTACCATAAATATATTAAAATTTGTATTTATTTCTTTTAGAGGCCTGTATTATCACGTCGGTAGTTTAGTGCTGTTTAACTATTTTACTTTCAAGATGTCACTAGGAGTATTAAATTTAAATTAATAAAATTAATACAGTCTTCAAGCTTCATTTGAATTACAAAAATGAATATCCCATTAATCTGAATTTCGAATAGGAGCATTATTTTCGGTTTTATGTGAATCTGTGTGAATATATTGTACAAACTTTAACAATAATTGTTATACTTACCTATAAGGTATACAGTGTGTTTCATAAAGTTGGATTCATTTGTGATTTTTTTTTAATATTACGATTGGAAAAAACGTCGTTGGGCAATTACTTCTGCTTACTAGCCCATATCAAAGTTGGCTGCTGACTTTAGTTTTCTGTCAAATTCGCACTAAAAAAGTAAATTTTTGAACGATTTCTTAAAAAAAATACGAGTTTGACAGATTACTAAGGCAGTAAAAAACTTTAATATGGGGTATTTTAAGGTTTTTAAAAAAGCACAGGTGAATGAATGCCCTAAGATGTTTTTTCAATCATAATTAATTAATTATTAAAAAATATTCCCGTATGGATCCAACTTTATGGCATATACTGAATAAATAAATTGCCCAATTAAAATAAAATATTATTTTACGATTTTGAATGTTTAAGAAATGAAAATCATAGAACATCATAGAGCACAAACGTATAAATAAAGTTTTATAAACAAAATTCATTGCAATAAAATGAAGAAGGCCGCGTAATTGGAGTCATCTTGATCCATAAGCTCCTCAAATTCATGGTTATCGTACGTCATAACTAAAACAGCCTTGACTAGGTGTAAAACTCGTTTTTTACATTCCTACCCCTTGGTTTTCGTAATTTGGCGTCTTTTTGAATCATATTATTCTTTAGTTCTTCAAGTTTTGGGGTAGAGTTTAAGAAATTTGCTTCACCGCGTTTTCGGCCTTTATTCTGACACATGCCAGCTGTCAAAGGTGATAAATATCACGAAATTAAACAAAACTACTAAAATATCTCTACAAATAAATATTAATCTATAAATTCACGGATTTTAACAGAGAATTAGGCATTCCAGCGACCTGTCCAAATGGCTACCAGTGGGTAATGACAGTTTAGATATGGCAACCCTGTTGTCATGTTGTCATTAACAGGGTCAATGATACATATATAGTTATATAGATTGCTCAAAGCTGGTCGTTTACGAGCAGCCATATTACCTGGCAAATATTTATTAATTTGAATCGGTTTAGCAAAAATGTGTTTTAAAACCAATTTTTAGCCTTTAGATATTTAAAAAAAAAAATAACTGCTTACATTTTTACTTCAAGGCATAAGCTTATGTTTATTTTGAAAAATATGGATAATCAATCTATGTAACTATCTATTTCATTGACCTTGTCAAATCACCAGGCCTACAGGGTTGCCATAATTTTGCCATATCATAACCCGTCAGAACCCACTGGTAGCCATTCAGTTTGGAATGCCTAATGGAAAAATATATCGACATTCAGTTTTCATTAAACTTCATAAATGTACATCAAATTTTTCGTGACAATGTTGCCACATGTAATTTTTTTCTGAAAAGTGCCGAAAAAAGTTATCTAATTTTAAATATTGTTAAAATTTAAAGAGAACATATTAGATTTGAATGAAATAAATAACGGCCATTATTTATTTTAAATATTTAATTAGAATATTATGCCTACACTTTTATTTTCTTACTGCATCGAAAAATATTAGGAGTAAACTGTCCTTTATTTTAAAGAAGTGTAATCTTTTTTTGAATATAGATTTTACTTTTTCGTTGTGTAGGGGGTTGCTTTTCAACTTAAAGATATATTTGTGTTATTTATGATTATAAAAAATCATTGAATAAAAGTTGTTTGTGATGTCATTATTTATCATTTTTGTCAAGTAAAATGGAATGTAAATAGGAAATTTGAGGAAAAGTACAAACTTTTATTGTTTTTCAGGCAATTAATTCTCCATATAAAAAATATTTCGAAAAAAATATTTGTGCAAATTTTTTATCTTTAATTCTTATTCTAAACATTTTCTGACTTTTTGATTCAATATATTTTTTGATTGAGTTGAGATTATGAAGACTAGAGAAAAGGAGATGAATCGGCAATGGTCAAATTTCAAATTTCCGTCCTTCTTTTTATAAAGTTCGCGAAATTGACTGTCGTTGGCACACATACTTTGATTACTATACGGGGCAAGAGAGAGGTCCGACACGCCCAACATAGGGCGCGGCCATTTTGAACCCTATGACACAGTTTATAGCTAAAGAATCAGATCGCTCACTCTGCGTCGGCACTTTTTATCTCAATGTTCCAGTTTATACACTGCGCAACTCAGATAATACAATATATGACAACCGCCTATAATAAAATAGCGTATCCTGAATTTGTATCCCTGGAGAGGATGTTATTTTGGAACTTTCAACTGGTCCGAGTGAGCTAACTGATTCTTTAGCAATAAACTGTGACTCCAAAAATAATATTCACTGACACTGACAGCAGCAAGCAAAATATCAGGTGCGTTTTAACCATCCGCTTCTGCTTCCGGAATTGTCGGTTCAGTCGTTCTAACCTGTCAGATTAAAACAAGAAAACCGACAATTCCGAAGCAGAAGCGGATGATTAAAACGCACCTATTAAAAATATTGCGCCAAGATGTAGGCAACACGTAATAAGGGTTCAAAATGGCGGAGTTTTCTATCTCCTTTTAAAAGGCACTCAGAAAGCTGCGCAGTGCGACCATTCTCCGTATAGTAAAAGAAAATCAAAGTATGTGCGTTGGCATGTCGAATGACAGCGGTGTCAATTTTCTATGTAAATCAATATAAAACGAAGTGATTTTTTAAAAAATAATGTGAAAAAAAAGTACCTGATTACAAGTAACATAATAGCAAGATTTGCGTCGTTCCAGATTATAAAACAGGATAAAAATCAAATGTAAAACTAAAAACACAAGAAGAAATCAATTCAATGTCTTTTATTCATATATAAATATAATATTTATTGTAAACTAGTCACAATATGTATCTTACGAAGTGTAGTTTATTTTATTACAAGTTTCTATAATATAAAATTTTACAGTCATAGATGCTGACTCACAAACAACAATAATTATGCATTAAATTCAACTTACTAGAAAAGAAAATTTATTTTTTATAGTTTTAATGTTAGATAAAGAGTTGCTACTGTTATTTATTTTGTTGAACCCCAATTGTTTTTTTTTGACCCCAATTGTGTCATTGTAAATGTTTTTTATAAGATACTAAACGTTTAGAATAGTGGCAGCATATATATATATCGTTTCTAGTGCAAATAAAGCACTTTCTAGAGATGATGCTGTTCTATACTTTTTAGAAGATATTATCAAATAATATGAGATTATTTTTACTGATGGTAACTGTTAGCAAAATAAAAATGGGAAATTTGAAATTAAAGGATGAGGCAATATCATGTACATTCCCAAATCTCTCTTTATACTTGTATTACAACAATAAAATAATCTGTTAATTGTGTTTTATTTTATTATTAAAACTATAGGATTGGTTCAATTCAAAAAAATTTTGCCACAAAATTGTACTCATCAAATTTCAGCATTTAAGAAACCTTTTCGAATTTGGTCATACCTAATTTGTATTTTATATAGATAAAATTAAATAATTTATTAAATTTTTATTTTTCTTGTTAACAAAATATGCTAATGTTTACATAATAATAAACATTCTTTATTTTTCACCTAATTTCAATGTATTTTATAGTACAGTATGTTAAAGTTTTTGTCAGATTTTAAAAAATCTAAAATTGTTCTAATTTTTGGGGTATGCACTTGAACACTAATGTAAATTACACTTGAAAAAGAGTATTTGCAACCTCTATGTTTTGCATATTTTTTTTGCCAAAATAAATTGATAAGTTATTCGGGTCAGATCTGTTAATAAATTTCCCACTTTATTCTTTATAGATTTTATTTCATAATTCTTTTTATTACAATGTACCATGATAATATGTATATTTAAATTATTTAAATTTGTTATTTTATTTATTTCATTTTTGTATTCACTTTTTCAACTTTTACTATTAGGATACTTTTTTACTATTTGTCTAGTTTATTTATTATGTCAACGAATTTTCTTGTTACAGAATCAGGTTCACTTATATCATAAGATTATTCCAGGAAATCTGGCATTATATGTATTCCAACATTGACTGGTATCTTTAAAAGGCCATAACAATTTGAAACACATTTAAAGTTTGTTGGGATGTAATTTTCAAAATTCGTTAACATTTTAGTAAACAACAAATATATTTGGTCGAAATAAAAAAGGACGGAAGACAGGAGGCGAAAGAAAAGAAACCTCTTAAGCATCTTGACATATTTATGTAGAGTCACCGTTTTCAATCTCTTGAAGCACCTTTAGATCCTTCGGATTCA